ATATATATATATATATATATATATTTTATATATTCTGCCGCGTTCTATGAGGGGAGGAGGAGAAGTAAGGGTTAGTGGGCTCTGCGAGATTGAAAGGAGACAGCCAGAAGAGAGAGGCAGAGAGAAACAAAAGTAGCAACGGGAGGCGCAGAGAAAAAAGAGAAACGGCTTACAAACACCCCTTGCACAACACCAGACAGAAAACCCGGGGCCCCAGACACAGAAAGTCTCAGGCCTATTCTATTTTCTTTATGTTGCTAAACCCTATACCCTTTATGCGGCTAAACCATAAACCCTAACATGAGGAGGGCATCAACTTCATTAGGTTCTTTGCAACTAAACCCTAAACCCTCAACCTCCGGAGTATGCAGAGGATCTGCGAGTCTGTCTGATCCACAGGGTCCATTGCTCACGGTTTAGTGTTCGTTTGAGGCCTGGTGTTTAGGGTTTAGGGTTTAGGGTTTAGGGTTTAGCGTCCTATGGGGCCCCTCGGCCGACACGGCAAAGATTCCGTATTGAATGGGCTGGCTTCTTAGCGCTGGTGTATTCTCAGGCATAAAAAACTCAAAATATTATTTCTTAATGGATTTTTGATGCTGCAGCAATAGCTGCAGCAGCAGCAGCAGCAGCAGCTGCTGCTGCTGCATTTGCTGCGCCGGCAGCAGACACACACAACAACCCCACCGACGTGATGCTGGGGGGAGCTAAAGCTCTAAAGAAAGACAGAAAAAGTTGTTCTGCTTCTTGCTAGAATTCATTTATACTCATTTTTGTTCTTTTTTCCTCTTCTTTCTACACTCAAGGTTAAGAGATGAGGCTAAGCCCTAATTGAGGGTTTTGGGGTTGCAGCCAAAACCCCCCTCCACTAGGAGGCAGCCAGTAACTGCAGCAACCGCAGCAGCTGCAGCAGCAGCAGAGCCTGCAACAAGATGGAGGGGAACTGTAGTGGGCCGCAGCATCAGAAGCTGCAGCGGCAGCAGCAGCCGCTGCAGCATAGCCAGCAAACAGAGCAGCAGACAGGGTTCTTGACTGGAGCTGCGGAAGTGAGTGCAGCAGAAGCCTCCCTGCTACTGCTGCAGGGTGAGTCCTCTGCTTCTGAAGCAGCACGCGCTTCAGATTTTGGTGTTGCTGCGCTGACTTCCCCTGGGCTGCCGAGCAGCAGCAGCAGCAGCAGCAGCAACAGCAGCACCATTCACTGTTCAATTCCTATTGCTGCTCCTGAGCTGCGAACTCGGCGCAGTAGCGGCCACTTCTTCCGCACCCCTGGCCCTCAGGTATCGCCGCCGCAACAGCAGCATCAGCAGCACATGCAGCAGCAGCAGCAATTGCAGCAGCCGCATTTGCTGTCTTTGAGTCCTCCATTCAAAAGCATTACCTGTGTCTCTACAGCCCACACAACACCCGTTGAGCTCTTCGCACCAGAGGCACCTTTGAAGGCCTGGGCAGACACAGCAGCAGCAGCAACTGCAGCAGCAGCCGCTGCCGCTATTGCACACGGCTCTCCATTAGTTACTGCAGCTGTTCCTGCAGAGAAGGAGCAGCAGCAGAAGCAGAAGCAGCAGCAGCAAGGGCGAACTTCGCTACATGTGCATCGTGAGGCTGAGGCTGCTACTGCAAAGGCAGCAGCAGAAGCAGCTGCAGCAGCAGCTGCTGCAGCAGCAGCAGCTGCTTCTGCTGAGAAAGACATGCTGTATAGTAAGGTCTCCACTAAACCCATGAATGCCCGGTGTATCTTCTCTAGGCATCCGAAGCTGCAAGGTGAGCTCGAGCAGCAAAAGCAGCAGCAGCAGCAGCAGCAGCAGCAGCAACTGCAGCAGGTTTCGCAAAAGGCGCCAAAGGAGCCTCAATTACAGCCACATCCGCCCCGAAGGGTTTATCCTGCTGCAAGCATGGGCGGCCCTTCCTCTCTTCCTTTCAGCAGCACCAGCAGCAACAGCAGCGGGGTTGATGTATTTGCTTTGCCTCAGCTGAGGCCTTGCAAGGAATGGCAGCAGCAGCCGATGCAGCAGCAGGTGCAGCCGCAGCAGCAGACGCAACGAACAGAAGCACTCAGCTGCAGAAGCAGCAACACCAGCACCCGTCTGTTAGTCCCCTCTCCAGCAGCAGAAATGGGCCACGCAGAAGGAACATCCCGTGCTGCTGCTACTGCTGCTGCTGCTGCTGCTGCTGCTCGATTCTCCGGCAGTCCTGCGGTGGACGCAGCTGCTGCTGCAGAGGCAGCAAAAGACTTTAAGAGACGATCCAGAATACTCCAAGATCAGCAGCAGCAAAAGCAACAGCAGCAGCAACAGAACGAGCAGCAGCAGCAGCAGCAGGAAGCATATTGTTTCAGACAATCGAATCAACAACCTGCAGACACACCGCGATCTCCCCCCCAGCTCAGGCAGCACTTGAAGCATGATTTGCAGCAGCAGCGGAAGCAGCAGCAGCAGCAGCGGCAGGGGAGAGTGCAGCGAGAGCAGCAGCTGCTTGAGAATTTGCTGCGGAAGCATGTGGGGAAGGGCCTGGCTGACAGCCGGGTGTCTCGTGTGCTGCAGCAGCAACAGCAGCAGCTGCTGCTGCCCTTGCCTTCGCTGAGGGAGAGGTTGCAACGGACTGCAGCAGCAGATGCCCCTGCTGCTGGAGAAGCAGCAAGTGAAGAAGAGCTGCAGCTGCTGCTGCATCTGCTGCAGCAGCAGCTGCTTCCTGAAGAAGCAGCAGCAGCGGCAACTGCTGTTGATTTCTCTTGCATCGGCAACAAGGACAGGCAACCCCTCAACCCTAAACCCTAAACCTAAACCTAAACCTAAACCCTAAATCACAAACATGAAACTGCAAGCCCCTCCCAACCCCCAATCCGTCTGAAGCTTAGAGTTTTGTTGCTGCTGTTGTTGCTGCTGCTTACTTTGTTTTCAGGTTTGTGTCGCTGTGCAATGCTGACTGGCAGCAACAGCAGGACGACGCCGCTGCAGCAATGCTGCTGCTGCCTCCTCTTTGTGCTGTGCTAGGCCGCTGCAGAAACGACGGCCCTGCTGCTGATGCTGCTGCTGCACCCCTATCCCATCGACAGCAGCTCCAGCAGCAGGTTCTACAGGAGATCCAGCGGTTGCGGCAGCAGCAGACTTACCCATGCTGCAGCAGCAGCTGGCCCTGCAGCGGAAGCACCATGCTTCCGCTGCTGCTGTCTCTTGTCCCACCTTCAACTCCTTCGTACGCGGTCTACAGCTACTCCTGTAGCAGCAGCAGCAAGAGCAGCAGCAGCAGCAACAGCAGCAAGGCCAGCAGCAGTGGCTCCTCTGCAGCCCTTCACCGTTCCTCCAGCAGCAAAAGCAGAAGCAGCAACAGAAGCATCAGCAAGGGAAGCAGCAGCAGCAGCTTCGCATACAGCCAGAAACTATCTCCAATGAGGGAGGCAGGATCAGTAGCAACAGCAGCAGCAACAGCTGCAGCACCAGCAGCAGCAACAGCAGCAGACTTCACGCTACCCGTTGACTATGAGAGTTTTGCTGCTATTGCAGCAGCAACAGCAGCAGCAAGTTCAGCAGCAGCAGGAGCCGTGACTCAAGGCCCTTCACACCTTTCTGGGGCCCTCAGGAAAAAGCCTGTTGCTTCTGGTGCAGCAGCGGCAGCAGCAGCAGCAGCAGCAGGCAAGGTTAGGACCTTCTTGCTGCTTCAGGGGCAAGACTGCGGCAGGCCGCCCCGTCGTTTGCTGCTGCTGAAGGAGGATATCGACACAACAGCAGTAGCAGCAGCAGCAGCAGGGCCTGCTGTAGGGAGCAGCAAAGAGCCAGCAGCAGCAGCAGCAGCTCCGCGAATTTTCAGCGGATGTTTGCTGCCTGTTGCTCCTTCTCCTTTGGCGTCGGCGCCCCTTCCAGTGACAGCGAAGTTGTTTGTAAGTCACCTAGGGCTTAGGGTTTACGGTTTAGGGTTTAGGGTTTAGGGTTGCGCCGCTGTTCGCATCCACTCACCTCATGCTTGCAGCCCTTGCGTGGAGTTGTGCTGCTGCCACACCAGCTGCTGCTGTTTCCACTTGTTTCACTTGCTGCTACTGTGCTGCTGCTGCTGCTGCTGCTGTTGCAGTTTAATGCTGGCAGTGCTTCGCTCCGCGAGTTACTGCTGGGGAAGCTCTTCTGCATTCGATCCTTGGCTCGTTGCTGCTGCAGCAGCGACGGTAGCCGCAGCAGCAGCAGCAAAAGCAGCAGAAGCAACGACGTGGCAAGTCCTCAACAAACCCCGAGGCATCGAATGGCCCTGCTGCCTGTCTCAAGGACACAAGGAAACACCAGCAGCAACACCAAGTGCAGCAGCAGCAGCAGCAGCAAGAAAAACACCAGCAAGAGCAGCTGCTGCTCTGTGCTGCAGTCTCGGCAGCTGCAGCAGCAACGCGTTCCTTTGGCATCTAGGGAGAATAGAAGCAGCTTCAGCAGCACCATCAGCAACAGCACCATCAGCAGCAGCAGCAGCTGCAACAGCAGCAACTGCAACAGCGCCAACAGCAGCCTGCTTCTGTCCCTCGACGTCTATGGGCTGCAGGAATGCTCAGGAAGCCCTCTCAATGCAGCTCTCAAGGATGAGTGCTGCAGCAGCAGCAGCAGCAGCAGCGAGACGAGCAGCGGGAAGCTAACTTTCCAGCGCAACAGCAGCAACAGCAGCAAGGGCAACAGCAACTGCAGCACAGCCGTCAGCAGCACCAGCAGCATCGCAGTTGCCCTGACTCCTCATGCAGCTGCCGCGCCCTCTACTGCTGCTGCTGCTGTTCCTCGCACAGAAGAGCCACCAGCTAAGCCTGCTGCTGCAGCTGCTGCAGCAGGACCCGTTGCTGCTGCTGCTGCTGAGGCGAAATGGCTGCTGCCCTTTGAAGCTCACTTCTGCGCCTCCTCATCTCTTGCTGCTTCCGACTGTTTAGGCGGAGTGCTGCTGCAGCAGCTGCTGCAGCGACACGTCAATTTCTTGCATGCGCTGCAGCCTCCCCAGCACAAGCAGCAGCAGCAGCAGCAGCAGCAGCAGCCCCACAGAGAAGCCTTCACTGCTCAGCAACACCAGCCCCAACTCCACAGTCATTCAAGCAGCAGCAAGAGTGCCAGCAGCAGCAACAGCGGCAGAGACAGAGATATGACCCTCCTACTGACCCCCGCGGTGCCTCAGTCGGCCTCGCTGTTGAAGACAATCAACCAGCTCTATATTGAGAAGTCTGCTGCTGCTCATATGCTGTTGCTTCCGCTGCTGTGCTGCTCCTCGGTGTTCACCTTTGCTGCTGTTGCAGCTGCTGCTGCTGTTGCCGCTGCTGTTTCTGTTGTTGTTGTTGCTGCTGCTGCTGCTGCTGCGGTGCCACTTGCGAAAATGATGGAGTTTAGCTGCTTTGTTCAATCAATATCTACGCAGTCTCTGCTGCTGCTGTTGCTGCTGCTGATGCTGCAGCAGCGCCTTCCATGTTGGTGTGTTGCTGCTTCTCGTTGTCGCTGCGCAGGGGCGTCATCCCTCCAGAGGAGCTTTGTTTGTTTCTAGTGTTTGAACAGCTGAAGCTGCTGCAGCAACTGCACCAGGTCAGCAAGGCTGCTGATGCTGTTGTTGTTGTTGCTGCTGCTGCGCTCTTTCTGCCGGGGATTGCATGTGTGGAGCTGCTGCGGCATCTTCTCAGGTGGGGCTGCTGCACTGCAACATCAGTTTGAGCAGCTTCGTGGTGGCTCCCGCTGCCGCAGCAGCCACAGCACTGCAGCAGCAGCAGAAGCAGCAGCAGAAGCAGCAGCAGAGTCACCCGCTGCTGCCGGAAGGCGAAGCAGCAGCAATTGAACTCTTTGGGATCGACTTGGCTACTGGGATCGATTGCCGCGCCTTGTGCTGCGGTGTCTGCCCTGTAGAGCCACCTACTACACCCCAGTACGATGGTAAGGCCTTGCTGCTGCTGCTGCTCGTGCTGCGTGTTGCTTTTCCTGCTATTGTGCTACTGCTGCTGTGCTGCTGCTGCTGCTGTCCGCTCTCGAGCGCACGAAACAGCACCTGCACAAGCAGCAGCAGCAGCAATACAAGCAACAGCACCACCGCAACAAGCAGCCGCTGCATCACAGCAGCAGCAGCAGCAGCAGCAGCAGGGAGTGCGCTGTGTCCGCTGCAGACCCGAAGAATTGTTGGGCCCTTCACGGCATCGACCTGAGAGGGCTCGCATGTGCTGCAGCAAGTTTGCTGCTGGGGAGACACTTGCTGCTGGGCAGAGACTTGCAGCAGCAGCAAAAGCCGCTGCACCTTAAAGAGAACAGGCCGGGGCAGCAGCAGCAGCTGCTGCTGCTGCAGCAGCTACTGCGGCCTCAAGTTTTGGTCCGGCTGCCCCTAAGACGGCATTACGCAGTCACCTTCTGGGAGTTGCTGCTTCAGCGCTGCTACAACTTCGAGAACGAGCTGCTGCAGCAGCAGCCAGAAGCAGCAGCAGCTGTATCCACTCTACTCAGTAGCAGAAACAGTAGCGGCAGCAGCAACGAGGCAACGCCTGGAGAGGTGCGCTCTGCTGCGGCGGCGCTGCAGCAGTGCAGCGAGAGGGCGTCGCTGCTGCTGCTGCGTCACCTGCAGCAGCAAATCGTGTCCCTCTTCGATAGACAGCCCACACGCAAGAAGTTGCTGCTGCAGCAGCAGCAACTTGTCGCAGCGTTTCTGGGGGATAAATAGCAGCACCACGCAATGGCAGCAGCAGCCGCAGCAGTAGCAAAAGCAGCAGCTGCAGCAGCAGTCGTCTCAACTGACAAACAGATTTTTAAAGGTCTGCTTCTCGTCCTTAGTCAAATGCAGCTCGCTGCCCAGCTATACAGCCAGGCAGCCAGCTAGCTAGCTAGCTAGCTAGCCAGCCACCTAAATAGCTCGCACCTGCGGAATGTGGGGAGCCACTGCCGCGAGCTGCTGCCACGGTCGTTTGTGCCTAGTTAGCTTGCAACTAGCCAAGCTACATCTAGCTAGGTCCGTTGATGGCTAGCTAGCTAGCTGCCCAGGCTCAAAGCCAGAGAGTTTGCTGCCTGTGCTTGAGGCAACCCATCGCGGTGTCGCTAGCTAGCTGACTAGTCGATGCAGAACCAACACCTAGCTACCTAGCTAGCCAGCCAGCTAGCTAACTAGCTAGCAAGGCAGCTAGCTGGTTAGCTAGCTAGCTATATAGCGAAGTAGTCGTATTTAGTTTGGGTGTTGATGCGCTCCTGAAGATTCGCCACGCGGTGGTAAAGAATATCCAGCTTCGTCCGCCGCAACATCGACATCAACGCTTCCTGCAGCAGCAGCAACAGCAGCAGCAACAGCAGCAGCAGCAATAGTAACATAGTTGTGGTATTAGTAACATCAGTAGAAGTAATATCAGCAGCAGGTGTTGCAGCAGCATCTGTGCTGCTGGTGCAACAACTCCTACAGTTGTGCTGCTTGGATAAAAAGTTTATTTAAAGGTGCAGCAGCCGCAGCGTAAGAAGCAGCAGCAGCAGCAGCAGCCTGTGCCTAGCAGGCGGCCTACCTGAATGCCCGCTGCCTTCATGTCAAAACAGTTTGGCTTGTAGCCAGCCAGTGTCTGCTCAGCAGCAGCAGCAGCAGCAGCAGCAGCAGCAGCAAACAGCAGCACAAATAGCAGTGGCTGTAGTAACAGTGTGTAAGTCAGTTTACAGAGTATTCAATAAACATTTCTCATAAAACATAGTACTCTATGAATTAATATATATATATATATATATATATATATATATATATATGAGGGGCACGCGGTGTGTCTTGTGCAGCAATTTAATTGATTAATTATATTTAGGCTATGGCGTGCTTGCATTTGTATATTTGTTTGCGTGTTTGATCGTCTCTGTTTTTATTGTTTATTTTTTTGCTTTTGTTGTTCTCTACATTGCTATTATTAAAGTACTCTTTATTTATTTATTTATTTATTTATTTGTGTATTTATCTATTTGTTTTATTTATTTAAATATGCATTTACGTATTTAATTCGTTATATAACTCTTTTTTATATCTATATCTACATATACATACATATATATACGTATATGTATATATATATACATGTGTATTTATATACATATGTATTTACTAATTAATATATTTTTATTAAATAAGTAAACATAAACGGATTAATTAATTAATTAATGATATTTAGAGTATTGCGGACTTGCAGCAAAGACAAACAAACCCCAACGAACTCAACACTGCTGAATGCATATAAAGCAGCAGCAAGCGAGTGCAGCAGATGTTTACAAACCCGCTGCTGCACCTGCCATCTGCTGCGACTTAGCTGCCGCAGCGCGAAGACAATCTGAAAGACAAAGACATAATAATATGTGCAAAGACACATAAAGACAAAGACATAATAATATGTGCAGAGACACATAAAGACAAAGACATAATAATATGTGCAAAGACACATAAAGACAAAGACATAATAAT